CCTCCCTCAGGAACTCTGGAAGGTTCATGTTTGAAAGCTATGGACCCTGACATGCTCATTTCTTTTTCCCCGACATGCTCATTTTTAACTAAGTGGGGCTGAACCAACTAAACGTAATCCAGAATTATCATGGCCATTACAGGGAACTTTCAATCTTCCCAAACTTGTTTTTCTTAAGATTAAATTGGAGAACTGTGGTTCTAAAATTTTATTTATTATTTTAAAAATTAATTTATTTACTTTTGGCTGTGTTGGGTCTTCGTTGCTGCGTGGGCTTTCTCTAGTTACGGCGAGGGGGGCTACTCTTCCTTGCGGTGCGCAGGCTTCTCATTGCAGTGGCTTCTCCTGTTGCAGAGCATGGGCTCTAGGCGCACGGGCTTCAGCAGTTGTGGCGCGCTGGCTTAGTTGCTCCACGGCATGTGGGATCTTCCCGGACCAGGGCTCAAACCCGTGTCCCCTGCATTGGCAGGCGGATTCCTAACCACTGCGCCGCCAGGGAAGTCCTCTTCTCAATATTAAAAGAGCTAAGTTTTGCTTACAACTATGTAACCTCTTGTATTTGCCTTTGAAATCTTTTATTGTTACTTTGGTCAGACAGATAATTAAGTATCATTTCATAATGATCTGTGGTCCTGTTTGGCCAAATGTCCAAAACCTTTTGTTACTTTTGACAAACTTACCCCAAATCAGTTCTAAATGAAGTCTTACAGACCTTGCACGAACTGGGCTCTTCCAGAGGGCCCCTGGAGAATCTCAAAGGATTTGTCTCTCACCTGGTAGAAGGCTGAACTAATCAGACTTATTTGATGAGCTAGATTACATGGGAAGCTTGTAATAGGTTTCTAAATAAGAAGGAATACAGAATCTTTTAACCTTATAGTTGTATAGGTACATATTAACATGTGCTCAAAATCATATGAAATTGCTAAATTCCGAGATGTCCTGATATAATGTTATTGGTCATGATTTTTGTTCTGTTTCTGTTTTTTTGGTTTTTTTGGTCTTGCTGCATGGCTTGCAGGATCTTAGTTACCCGGGCCCCAGCAGTGAAAGCACCAAGCCCTAACCACTGGACCACCAAGGAATTTCCAACTGCTCACCATTTTAAACATATGTCATAGAGATAAGCTGATCCCCTTGCCACTCCCATTACAATGAATTCTCATCAGATTTTTAATAATGGGCATTTTCAAGTCTTTCTGTCATTACAGTTACTGCTTTACTCTGATGCTTCTCCAAATGTGTTCCTCTTTAAAGAGATTCATGGAAAGGACTCTGACAGGTACTCTGAAACAGTTTTCTTTCTTATAACTCTAAGATCATACGACTGAACTGTGTAAGAATTTCTAAAATTCTAATGGAAAACCAATTGCTTTAATGTTTTGTTTTCCAGACACAACGGATCCCCTTTTCTCCTCTCCTTTAAGCTGTCTATAACTGAAAACAATTTGGCAAAGTGTACCTTGGCATCAAAGGTTGAAGCATTTACAGTTTCTCCCTAACCTGGTCCCTCAAGAGCTCTGAAACTCTTATTAAGTATTTTTGTTTTTCATGACAGTGGACGTATGTGCACACGTTCAATGGAGCCTGTTGTCCCTGAACAGGACACCCAAAGCACGTGGCTCCTGCTTCTTTGATCCGAGCTGAGAAAGGGAGAAATACTCCTGCACTGTAAAGGCCTCATTGCTTCTACTGAAAATAACCAGTTGGGCAATTCCCTGGCGGTCCAGTGGTTAGGACTCCGTGCTCTCACTGCCGAGAGCCCAGGTTTGATCCCTGGTGGGGGAACTAAGATCGTGCAGGCCACATGGTGCGGCCAAAAAAAAAAAAAAGTTTAAGAAAATAGTTAGGATTAACATATACACACTACTATACATAAAATAGATAACCAACTCAATATTTTATAATAACCTATAAGGGAAAAGAATCTGAAAAAGAACGTATGTGTATGTGTGTGTAACGAATCACTGTGCTGTCCACCTGAAACTAACACAACATTGTAAATCAACTACACTTCAATTAAATTTAAAAAAACCAAAAAAGAAAGAAAGAAAATCACCAAGCTCTGGCAGAGCACTCCTTTTGCAGCGCACTCCCGGAAGACCAAGACCCCGAACGTCACAGCCCACAGCCTGGAGATTCTACGTACTGGAAAAGGCACCTCCAAAAGGATCCTCTCCAGCCTTGCCGGCAGGGCCCCGTCAAGTCCTGTTGACCAACGCTTGTGCCAACGAACTCGAGAGGGGACTCCAGGGTTCAGTGTCACATCTAAAGGAGGCACCAAATCCCAGCTGGACCTGTACACTCTCTGGTGACCTGAAGATAATGCCCATTAGGACCCGAAGCAGAGGACATCTGAGGCCAACAGCTTTCCCAAAACGTCTGGACCAGGCCTGTATACCTTTACTCCAATACAGTCCCTCACCTCGTTCCTCCCTCCCTTCTACGGAAGGACAACACCCTCATTCGTATCTCCCCGTCCCTGAAGAAAGGGGGAAACCTCTCGGATTGCTCAATTTGCCATTGGAATCCTCAGCTGGCCCAGCATAGCAATGGCCTTTTGGTTCGGCCTATAAGTAATTTCACTGGGGTTCCAGATGCTGCTGTCTGTCCAAATTATTCTGCAGGCCCATTTTATAGAGTTAGGGAGCTACGCCCACCTAAATTTATCCCTTGCTTCAATTTGACCCAACCCTGGGATAGGAAAACAAGATCTTTTGAATATCTGCACGAAAGTTCAACGGTGCTGGCAATGCAAGTTGAGTCATCTGTAAACTTGCTGACATATCTGTACATCTAGGTAACTTCCCGTTGTGTAAAAACAAAACTTCCGAGCCTTGGCTAAGTAATGCCAGTGCCTCTGCGCCAATGAAGGAACCCATAGATTCCATCACTCGTGTGGAGGCTTTATGTGTGCGCCCTGGTTTCACCTCCACAGGTGGAAGTTTGGGGGATGGCCTTTATGCTTGGGCAGCCCATTGTCTTGATGGCTGGAGAACACAGGACGGTGTGCCCTGCTGCATTCGCCGTCCTGTCTTCCTGACATAACTGAACAGAAGCCTCACGTTGATCCGTCCCATTAAACCTCTATAAGTGGCTTAAGCAAGAACTTCCAGCAGGCATAAGCGATTCTGCCTTTACCTCTGGAGGGAGAGCTTTCCTCCCACGGACGGGAATGAGCACCAATGGACACATAATGAGGAATCTCTCCCTGACATTAGGAGAGTTAGCCACTCCGGAGCCAAAGCAGTTTCAGCTCAGTGACGGTCACTTAAGTCATCAGCCAAGGTGGTTTCAGGTAACCACGAGCCTGCAATTACCTACTTGCTGAGCAAGGAGGTGTCTGCAGCAGCAAACCCCTCTTGCTGCAAGTGGTTAGATGCCCCTGGGGAAGCAGAGACCCAATGACATAAAATTACAGAGCAAGCGCATTGGTTAGAGCAACGTCTCTGGACAACCCGCTGTCTGGTTGGTGTATTCAGCTAGATACCTGCAGGCCTGGCTCCTGGTTTAGAAGCATCGTGCAAACTGGCCATCCCTCGCAGCCCCCAGGGAGCCCTGGAGCTGGCAGGAATCCAGCCTTTCCCGGCAGGACGCGCCCCCTCCCCACCCTTCCCGTCGGGGCGCAGGGGCTGCGTGGCAGCTTGGCAGGTCAGCCGCTTCCCTGTGCCGGGGCAGGCTCCTCTCCCTGACAAACCTCAGCCCATCCAGGTCTGCAGCCGACCACCATGACCACCACGAAGAGAATGGATGGCGGCGAGGCGGCTGTGACCATGCGGGACTCCCAGGGATGGAGCGTCTGCCAGGTTCTCTAGAGACACCAGCCCCCGTGGTCCTTGAGGTTCTGGGAGGGCAGGGGTCAGGCTGAGCTCGGCGGTGGGGGCCTGGAGCTCCTGGCACAGTCCACGCTGGCGGTGCCTCCACCCTGACCAGCCCTCCCCTCGGCCCCCTAGCTGTGCTCCTGTCCCCCCACCTCCCAGGCCGCGCCCTCCTCCCGGGTGGGTGGGGCCGTGCTGACCCGCGTGCCCACCACGAGACAGCACTGAAACTGCCTCACCCCCCTTGGGAGCCCAGCCCAGCAGGGGCTCCAAGGCTCACCCGCCCCAGGCAGCCGGCGCGGTTCCTGCAGTCCCGCTCGGGGAGACATGAGCCTGCGGAGCCAAGGCTGCGGAGAAGCCAGGATGGCGAGCGTGAGGCCCCGGCCCAGGCCTGGAAAGCAGTGGACCTCTGCGGTCTGAGGGATCCCTACTCAGAGGCCTCCCCCGAGTTCAGCACCCTGGAGCAGGTTGGTGGGCAGTGTAGGGGGATCCAGGAAGTCAGGGCCCCCGACCTGGACCCACCTCCTGCTGCTGTCACCCTGAGAGAGTCCCCCTTCTGGACCACTTAGGGGATATTCCACTGGACCAGTTCATTGGGTGGAGCCCCCCACCCATCCCTTTGCCTCCCGGGGAGCTCCTGGGCCCAAGAGGCCATGAGAAGTCCAGGCAGACCCACGGGATTCTTGCAGTGGTGAAGCATCCGGAACCTTAGGCCCCCGGGGTGAGCAGGTGTGTGTGGGGGAGTGTGTTCGGCTGCTGCGGGCACCCGAGAGACTCGTGGTCACGTGCGACTCTGCAGGGGACCAGCTGTGTGTCCCTGGGGTCTGCTCACCCTCTCTGCCGTCATCTATGCTCTGTCCCACGGAGACAGACGTACCCACTCCTGGGGAGCCAGCCCTGTGGGACATACTGGCGCTGAAAAACGCAGGCTGGATTAAGGACCCAGCAGGTGGCAGATTGGGGCTCTGAGGGAGGTTGGAATGGGCAGAGGAGCTCAGAGCTGACCCAGCCCCACCGATCCCCCCAGGTCCCAGTGTGAACCGGCGGAGGGCCATGGGCAGATTTATTTGAGGCTTAGAGGCCTGGGGCAAATCCACAGGGCCCCCTCCCTCCAGCTGCCCCCGTCAAACCAACGTCCCGTCGGGCCAGTGGGCGCGTCCGCTGCGTCCGGTGGCGCCTGCGCTACAAAAGGTTCACCGTGGCCACCACCTGCTTGCAGCCAGTGACGGCGAACTCGCGGCCAGCCGCGCGGTAGTAGCTGAGCTGCGCGGCCAGGAGCTCGGCGCGGGCCTGCTCCGGATAGAAGCCCTCCCCGGCCATCTCGTCCCGGAAGCAGTTGACCACGTCCCCCTTGTCCAGCAGCAGGAAGGGCACGATAGTCGCGACCTGCCACAGCGGGTGCTCGCGGACCAGGAGCGCCCTCAGGCTGGCGCGCAGCTCCTCCTCGGCCTGTGCCGCCACCGCCGCGGCCCCGGCCCCGTGGGCGCCGTCTGCGCGCGGGGCCCGCGCGCGGGACGCGTTCTGCAGCACGAAGCGCGTGACCTCCGCGCCGCCATTGCCGCTGAGGAGCACGTAGATGGCATTGTGGAAATGGTGCGAGCGCTGCGGCTGCAGGAAGCCGTGCAGCTCGTCCAGCAGGGCCGACGGCAGGAGCTCCACGTCGTCCAGAACCAGGAGCGGGGTCTTCTCTTCCGCCTCGGCCCGCGCCACCACGTCGGCCACGCGCCGCGCCAGCTCCTGGCGGCAGTCCTCCGCGGAGCGCGGCTCGGGGCAGTGGTGCCGCGCGTGGTACTGCAGCACGAGCGCACCGTCCTCGAGCACCGCGCGGAAGTGGCGCGCCAGCAGGCGGCCCACATGGCTCTTGCCCACGCCGCTGGGCCCGTGCAGCGCCAGGAGCAGCGGGCGGCTGTGCACGTGCGTGGCCAGGTAGTCCCGCAGCAGCGCCACGATGCGCTCCACGGCCGCCTGCTGGCCGAACACGGCACGCTGCAGCGCCTTCTCCAGCCCGTCAAGGTCATAGCGCTGCGCGTTATCGTCCAGGTTCTCGATGGCGTTGAGCACCTGGAAGCCCACGATGGCCACGAGCAACAACAGGCAACGCTGAGCGCGGCTCCGGCGCTCCGCGCGCGGCCGGTACTTGCGCGACATCTCGGGGTAGAGCACCATGCGGCTGCGCCGGCGCTTCTTTCGCGGCGGCCTCGAGGACAGCTCCGCCGGACCGTCGAAGGTGAAGAACTGAGGCTGGAACGGGTCCGCGCGCGGCGCCCGGGGCTCGGAGTCCGGCCTCACGGCCGTAGGCGAAAAACACCGCTTGCGCAGGAGGCGCACGCGGCGGCGCAGGCGGACCACGGCGCGCACGGGCGCGATCACGCTCGGGCCGGGGGCGACGTGGTCCGCTACCGCGAGCTCCGGGCTGGGCTGGCCGCGGTCCATGGCGCAGGGGCAGCGCTTGGCATGTAGGTCACCCTCCCTGCAACAGGAAGACGCGGAGGGTCTCCAGACTTCCGCCCGGCCGACTGGGACCCTCCCCCCGAGTTCTCAGCTCTCCCCACCCCCGCGAGGCCCCCCGGAGTACGGCCCGCTGCCCCGAGGCCAGTGCCTGGCACGGGCCTCGCCCCTCTGACCAGGAAGCGGCTCCCCGCCGGGCCCCAATGCAAATCTCTCGGATCCTCGCATAAACAGCCTCCGGCCTTGAGGAAGTGGCTGCCTGGGGGGGG